GTCCAAGATTAACCTTCAGGGTGGATATAGTTGATGTCATCATTTACCCAGAATGCTTTGCGTGTAAATAAAATGGCCCCGTCCGTGTAATATATTTAAACTTTTAGTTTAAAAATGATCAAATCTAAACATCCTACAGTATTTTTACAGTTAAAGTATATGTTTATTAAATAAAGTCTAATGCTACAACTAATCAGGGATCCCTTTAAAAAGTGTTTCAGCACCAACAGGGTGATTCTCACGAAGCCTTTATCTGAAAACTTGAAGATGATTAAAGAAGGGTGATGCATCTAACAGTAAAACATAAAGATACCGTTCATCTGATCTGAGAAGGTTTAGAGTTCTTTTGTTCTCCTTTTATAAATGTTCCTCGTTACAGAATGTGCTGCCAGGGTCAGGACAAAGTTTTAACAAACCTCGGAGAAACATTTAAGAAAACTACTTTGAAATATTAAAAAAGGTTCAGCTGCTTAAACTTTAAAGAAATTGATGCCYGTTATAATTTTCTCAGATTTTTAAAAATGACCCCAAACTGACCTTTTTTTGAGCAACATGTCCAGAGTTTAACTGTCTGTGACAAAGGAGCAGAGCTCAGTCGTGGCCCGGCCCGGCCTTTCAGCCCAGCTCCCTGACCAGGAACTGAAGGCCACGGGCCCACAGAGGAGGCCTTGTTTTCTCCTCGGCTCTGTCAAACCAAACCCACCGACCCCTCCACCGTCACCCTTAACCCCCCTGAAAAACTTGTCCCGACTCGATCCGGCTCTCATCGGCTGAGAATGACGTCCTGATTTGACAGGCGCAATACAAGTGTCAAGTCAAGTCGCTCCGTTTTCTTTCTGAGTAGACGAGTCACTCGAGTGCACAATAGTGAGTTTGACTCTTCATAACTCTAAGACAAAAGCCCGTTTAAGAAAACACAAAATATTGTTCTTGACTAAAATGTAAAACAGAGAAAAATATCAAGTTCCTGTTCTTTTTGGCACTCTCATTATTCCTAAAAGCTTTCTGTTATAGTTTAAACCTGGACATTTATTTATTAATAATCAATAAGAAGTTCTCTTCCTCTCTGAGGTGTTGCAGGAAGCTCAGCAGCGTCTCACTGCTCTGAGGTCAGCTGCAGTCAGTCTCACATGTTTGATGAACTGGAAGCCGTCGCTCGTCTCTCAGCCTCCTGTTTGTCTCTGGACCAAACATCAGACTCATCAAAGTCCTCCTCACCTGAAACAGGTAATGTTTGATTGATTATATGAAAGGATGCTGGCTACATCTCATGAGGCATGTTTATGAGACGTAAATTTTAGCTCATTATCTGTGAAATTGGCTGGATTTTATTCGTTTATGTGTCTGTTGGCTATGGTGACTATTTTAAACTAGGTTAATGTTCATAATGTTTTTTCTAACAAAGAGACAGAGTTCAGAGCTACAAATATATTTCATTTTATCAAGCAATATGTCATTTTAGCCAGGCTAATGAAGCATTTTACTCAACTTCCTTTAATGCCAATTTCATCCAGATTAATTTTCGGATTTTTTTTTTTTATCAGAAACAAACTTTGTTGAATTGTCATAAATTTTAGCATATATTTTTTGTTGAAACTTGAACGTTTACTCTTCTTTTCAATGTTATGAGTTTTTTTTTCACTTATTCAAAAAACGTTTGATGCAACATTTATTCAGTTTAGTATAAATTCATTGGAGGTTTTTAGCTTTTGCTCTTTCATGTTTTTTTTTTTTTTTGGCTTGTACCTAAACATAAAATAAAAAAGTAAAGTACCTATAAGATTGAAAATGACCAACTTAAAATAATGGACAGCTTAAAAAAACCTGTTATATAGTTTGTTTATCTCTTGTTTTCAGATTATAATCCATCATTTCTCACATTTCTAATTTAGTGAAATGTTTGTGAGATCAGCACCTATAAATAATTTAGGTACATGATTTTAAATTTTTTTTTGGGGTCACACAACAAGAATTTTTGTATCATTAGTTACGAAAATAAAGTCATAATATTACAAGAAAAAAGTCACAATATTACGAGAATAGAATTGTAAATTTTTGAGAATAAAATCGTAAAATTACAGGAAAAATTCATAATATTAAGAAAATAAAGTTGTAATATTACGAGAAAAAAGTCGTAACATTATGAGAATAAAGTCATTATGAGAACCTTTACACACAAAAAAAGCAGTCTTACCACTGCATTAAAATGAGGAATGTTCAGCAATTTCTTTAGAATCAGAACAAAATAAATAATCTTTAAACACTTTAGCATCAGTAGCAGAATTTTGAAACGATTGTGCAAACGACTTAATGATAAACTGAAGCTGTGTTATAATTAATGGATGCAATGACAGATGTCACGTAATTTGGATAAAAGCATTTTACACACAGTAACCCAAAAGTCATYGCAKAYYACTGTCCACAGCAGGTGTGAGGAAAATGAGGAGGAAATGAGTAAAAACATCAGGAACGGAAATTGGACATGTCATGTAAGATTATGACTTTTTTTTATCATAATATTATGACATTAATCTCATAATTTAAAATTAAATCTTGTAGTGTGGCCCTATACTTTGTCATATAAAAGAGAATAAACTGTTAAATATTTGTTTGTAGTCATTCATTTTCTCATTTTCAGGTCAATTATTACCTGGCAGACTCTTATCATCAAACACTTGAAAACTAATTTATCTTAGATTAACGAGAGTTCTGTTTGCCCTTTTTCAATACAGATTGGTTTCTATGTGTTCACAGATTATCAGTGTTTGTCTTGTCAATTCTATCAGACTTTATTCTGAATTTTTTTTCATTATAATGTTGCCAAAGTAAAGGAAAAAAAACAGTTTTGTTGATTGGTGTCTTTTTCTTCAGTTGGCTGCGAGTAAAGCCTGATGATCTCTTCGTCCTTTATGCACTCAGGGGAATTTCTCCGAGCGCTCCGTCAGTCAACTCRTTGAATCAGCCCAACAAAAGCAACATTAATGTGACGTTGAGGTGTTTATGCCCGTGTGTTACGCTGCGTGTGTGTGTGTCCTGGAGGCGCTTCGTTCAGCTGCAGAGAGGGAGATCAGCCAATACGACTTCCTCTGCCTCCCTCGCAGCCTCCTAATCCCCAACAAGGTRTTTGCTTGACCTGAAACCTCTCAATGACCCCAGAGACCTTTGGCCCGAGGATGTGGAAGGATCGAGCAGAGAGATAAAATCTGCTCTGGGTTTAATCCAGGAGCTGATTTTATCTCTCTGACATGAAGCACAGTTTGAATTTGTAGAGGAGGTGGTGGGTTAGGGGTACTACGGTCAGTGTCAGAACGGGTCAGTTCGGGTGCTTTTCCATTGACGTTCCAGTCCTGTTCCAGTGAGTGTGTTTTTGGGTGATTGGTGGAGATGGTTTTTGGGTTTTTCGAAGAAAAAGTTAACGCGCAAAATTAGAGATGGAAACACATTTGCCGAATAAGTTCTGAAATTTTAAAAATTTGCTAAAAATTCKAATTAAAGTGGGATGGAAACACAACTAATGTCACTGCTACAAGTGAAAAAATGGCTCCTTGAGTTGTTGTAAAGGCAGCTTAGATGCAACCAGTGACYCCACCCCCTAGCCAATCAGTGACGATCAGTGTTCTGACGCTGCATTTTGGTGTCGACTGGGACCGCTTAGAACCACAACGAAGTAGGTACTAAAAWAGGGCTGGTTCCACGAATTTGACCTAATGGAAATGGCTTGGAACTGTACCGAACCGTACCGACACTACACTAAGTGGCACTAGTGGAAAAGGGGCAGTAGAGTAGACCTTTTGGAACTGGGAAGTCTCCGGTTTGATTCCCCGTCATGCTGATATGTCATCTTGAGCAAGGCATAATAAAACTTAATAAAAGTATATTAAAACAAACAGAACACTCACTGTCTTTAAAGTTTCTTCTTTATGATGACTCCTACCTTTATTGTTATTTGTAAAATAAATTCACCATTTTATTTTAGCTGTATTTAATTTTAAAAACACTTAAGTCTATTCTAAACGAAGGAAGCTAAAATGGTTAATAAAAGTGACGCCAGTAGATTCGACTCAATCTCCCAACATCTTGCTGATGTAAAGRTTTGAATCAGAGGAAACTGACATCTGCAGACTCTCGGTGGGTGGCAGCAGATTTGAACCTTGTTGTTTTCTGCAAAAGTGTTTCCCTCTTGTGCCTAATGATGAACTAATACCAGTCCTAACTGAAAGTGTGTCCTGCCACATTATGTTACAGCCACAGTTATCCCTGGGATTTCCTCTCAACGACTCCTGAATTCATCAGCAGAAGCAACAGTTCCTTTTTTTGTTTTTTGTTTTTTTCCTCAACTGGGGGATTACTTTACACGTTCTCAACTGAAAACACTTAACAAGAGAGCGAGTGAGGACACAGTGTAATGTTGCATAACTCAATCACTTTCTTTTGAAGGTTTCTCTGGGATATTACAGGAAGGTGTGTGTGTGTGTGTGTGTGTGTGTGTGTGTGTGTGTGT